TCTTCTGCATGTTGCTGTCCAATTTCCCCACCACCATTTATTGAAGGCACTTTTTCCCATTGGATATTCATTTCTGCTTTCTCAAAGAATAATTGGCTATAGAATTGTGGGTTTATTTCTGAGTTTTATATTCTCTTCTATTGATCTATGTGTCTGTTTTTATGTGCCGCTATCATACTGTTTTGATTATGACAGCTTTGTAATATAATTTGAAGTCTGGAATTGTGATGCCTCCAGGTTTGCTTTTCTTTTTCAAGATTGCTTTGTCTATTTAGGGTCTTTTGTGGTTGCATATAAATTTTAGGGTTGTTTGTTCTAATTCTGTGAAAAATGCCATTGGTCTTTTGATAGGGATTGCATTAAATGTGTAGATTTCTTTGGGTACTATAGACATTTTAACAGTATTCTTCCAATCCATGAGCATGGAATGTCTCCATTTCTTTGTGTCACCTTCAGTTTCTTTCATCAGTGTCTTATAGTTTTCAGAGTACAGGTCTTTTACCTCTTTGTCATGTTTTCATTTTCATTTGCTTCCATGTATTTTTATTTAATTTCCTGGTTAACCCATTCATTCTTTAGTAGGATGTTCTTTAACTTCCATGTATTTGTGGTCTTTTCAAAATTTTTTCTTGTTGTTGACTTCAAGTTTTATAGCATTGTGGTCTGAAAGTATTCATGGTATGATCTGAATCTTTTTCTACTTGTTGAGGCCTGATTTAAGTCCCAGTATGTGATCAATTCTGGAGAATGTTTCATGTGCCCTCAAAAAAAAAAGAGTGTATTCTGCTGCTTTAGGATGACATGTTTTGCATTTATCTGTTAAGTCCATCTGGTCCAGTGTGTCATTCAAAGCCATTGTTTCTTTGTTGATTTTCTACTTAGATGATCTGTCCATTGCTATAAGAGGAGTGTTAAAGTCCCCTGCTATTAGTATATCAATTAGTTCCTTTATGTTTGTTTTTAAGTGATTTATATATTTGGGTGTTCCAAAGTTGGGGACATATTTATAATTGTTAGATCTTCTTGATGGGTAGACCCCTTAATTATGATATAATGCCCCTTTTCATCTCTTGCTACAGTCTTTGGTTTAAAATCTAGCTTGTCTGATACAAGTATGGCTACTCTGCCTTTCTTTTTACATCCATTAGCGTGATAGATTGTTCTCCATCACCTCACTTTCAATCTGCAGGTGTCTTCAGGTCTAAAATCAGTCTCTTGTAGGAAACATATAGATGGGTCTTGTTGTTTAATCTATTACGATACCCTATGTCTTTGGATTGGAGCATTTAGTCCATTTACGTTCAGAGTGATTATTGATAAGATTTTAGTGCCTTTGTGTTACTTGTAAAGTTGGTATTTCTAGTCTTTTCTTTTTCCACTCAAAGAGTCCCCTTTAATATTTCTTGCAGGGTTGGTTTAGTGGTAAACTCCTTATTTTTTCTTGTCTTGGAAACTATCTCTCATTCTAATCTGAATGACAGCTTTGGTGGACAAAGTATTGTTGGCTGCATATTTTTCCCATTCAGCGCATTGACTATATCATACCACTCTCTTCTGGCCTGCCAAGTTTCTGAGGACAGTTATGCTGCAAACCTGGTGTGTCTTCCATTGTAGGTAAAGGATTTTTTTTTTTTCCCTTGCTGCTTTCAGGATTCTTTCCTTGTCTCTGTGTATTTTGTGAATTTGATTATGATGTATCTCAGTGATGACCTGCTTTTGTTGAATTTAATGGGAGTCCTCTGTGCTTCTTGGATTTCGATGTCTGTTTTCTTCCCCAGATTAGGGAAGTTTTCAACTATAATTTGCTCAAATAAGTCTTTTGCTCCTTTTTCTCTTCTTTTCCTGGGACTCCTATGATACAAATGTTACTACTTTTTAAGGAATCGTTGATTTCCCTAAGTATACATTCATGATACAAAATCTTTCCCTCTTCTTTTCAGCTTTATTGTTTTCCATAACTTTACCTTTGATATCACTGATTTGTTCCTCTGCTTCATCCATCCATTCTTGTTATTACATCCAGTTGGCTTTGTATCTTGGTTATAGCATTTTTTTAATTTCGGCCTGACTAGTTTTTAGTTCTTTTATCTCTGCAGTAAGGGATTCTCTAGAATCTTCTATGCTTTTCTCAAGTGCAGCTAGTGTCTTTATTATTGTCATTTTCAAATTCTGGTTCAGGTATTTTACTTATATGTGTATTGATAAAATCCCTGGCTGTTACTTCTTCCTTTTCTTTCTTTTGGGGTGAATTCCTCCATCTTGTTATTTTGTCTAGGTCACTGTTTTTTTTGTGTGTGTGACAGTTAGGAAAGCCTGTTATAGTTCTGCTCCTGAGAGTAATGACTATATAGGAAGAGGTCCTATACTGTCTTGGGCCTGGGGCTTCAGGAGGTGTTTCAGAGTGTACACTCTACTGTTGTATTTTGGCTGCTCCTTCCCTCAGGTCAGTCTTTGCAGAGTTGCTCCTTGACTGCGGTAGGGCGGGGTGGGCGGAGGTGGTGTTTGGATCTTGTCCACTGTGCGGCAGGTTTAAACTAGATGTGTTTTGGTTTGCTTGTTACAAGAAGTTAGATCCAAAAGGGGGAAAAAAAGAAAAAAGCTGGGTCCTATTTCCCCTGGAGGGGAAGCTTTGCAGCACTCTACAATCAGTAAGTGGTGCAAGTGAGGGGTTTGTGCTGATATTCTGGGGGAGGGGCCTGCTGTGCTGAGTCTCAGGAACACTTGCCCTAGTAAGGATGCACCTGCAGGGCACAGGGTGGAGGGGCTTAGTGTAAGTGGCTCCAGCCTCCACTGGGTGGCGCTTTGTTGCTCGGGGATTGGGGGGAAATGGCCTTGCCCCACTCTCTCCTTGGAGCAGAGAGTTCACACCTACCATTCTTCAGGAAGCCCTTACAGAGGAACAGTCACCCCTCCTGTGTCTCCAGCTTCCATCAAATCCCTGCCTTCACCCTGTTTGTGTCTGAGCCGTGTGCCTAGCCAGGCAGCACAGTTCTCCTGTGTTGAGTGAGGCTGGTTTTCAAAACTCCAAATTTTGGGGATCCGTGTAGCGTGGACCAAGGCTGATCCTTTGTGAGAGGGTCTTGCTGAGCTCTGCATCCCAGAAAATGGTTGTGTGACCATGCAGTGGTTCATAGTTTATGGTAAAGTGCAGCGAAAAGCTGGTACCAAGGTGTCTTTATTCCTATGCTAGGGAACAGGGTGACACATTGGTGCCGCCAGCTCTTTTGTCCCCAAAGAGGCTATCCCACTGCTCCCAAATGCTGCTGGTGCTGCCCCCTAGTGGGTTGGCAGGAGATGGGCGGGAGCTGCTGGAAGCCACCCTGAAGGAGAGGCCCCAGAGGTGGACAAGCGGGGATGGATCTGTGCACAGGGCAGCAGACGTGGGCATCCTGTGGCAGAACAGCCGGGGACAGGATGGGTGGGATCTCAGTACTCAGGGAAGGTGTTCTGCCCCCAGGCCCTTTGGTCACGAGCTGCCGTGGGCCCGATTCCACCATTAGAGGACCTTTCCTTGGGACAAATGAGACTGTAGGAGTTGTGTTAAAATGCGTTCTGAGGAAAGAGGGACACATTTACCTCCCTTTCCTCCCTCCCTCCCTTCCTGTTTGTTTTCCTTTCTTTTCTTGTTTTTATTTAAATTCCAGTACATTTACCTCCCTTGTAGGTGTTGCTATATGTGCTTAGAGCAAATGCATGAGCTGAGGGGGAAGGCAGGCTTCTGAGCCAACTCAGATGAGGGCCTAAGGGGATCCTGATGAAGAAACACTGTTCTGGGCTCAGGGCTGGGGACGGGGAATCTTGGGGAGGCGGAGGCTGCGGTGAGGAGGGGGAAACCCTGAAGAGTTAGCAAGGTCTAGGAAACAGAAGTGATTCGCTGTGCACGCCGGCCACAGATGTGCCGACGAGCAAGGTTTTCACTAAAAGCAGCTAGGGACAGATGGTGTACACAGCAAAGGATATGGGCTTTGGGGTCAGGGTAGAGTGGGAACCCCGTTGCGCTAACATATGACCCCGAGCAAGTTGTTAAACCTGAGTCGGCCAATAATTCTGATGCTTACCTCAGAAGAATTTTTAAGGATTTACTGACCCAACATGAGTGTTTCACAGATGGTACATACGTGTTCACCTTTAAACGCCCGCACCAGCCTGTGGCCCCCGGTAGGTAATGAGAACTGTCGGGCGTGCATGAAACATGCAGCCCAGCAAGGAGCAGCCAACACTTGCCAGTCAAAATTCTGCACGTGGAGCTTCTTTCTCAGGGGTCCTTAGCTAGGCTCTGAGGCCGGTTAGGAGTCCAGGTGTTCGTAAGTCTCTATTGAACAAGGGGCCAAATCCACGCTGGCTTGGTCTCAGAGGGAAGAATGGCTGCCTTTCCATTCTTTGCGGGCTCCTGCAGCATTAGGTTTTCTGTTGTCAGAATCTCAGTGCCTTTGAGTACCTTCTTCCTTAAATATTTTGTGGATTTGACTCACTGCATGTTTTAGATAAATTCACAATGTGAAGATGTGCAAATCTAATAGTTCAGGATTTTCTTCCAGGTGGAATTGTTGCCTTAGTTTCATAGACTAAGTAACCTCGGGGTAGCCGTGGGATGCTGTGTATCAGCGGGCTTCATGCCTCTCTGTTAAGACTTTAGCTTTGTGGCTACAGACCGGCCACTAGGTGGCGCCTCTGTACTTGGCTGGTCCCTTGGCAGCCCAGTAGGAAAAAAAAAAAAACACTGGGAGGTTGGTACGGTGCTGGGATTCCAGAACTCATCTTGGCAAATTCATTTACCAGTTTTCCAGATTTACAATCTCTTGGTCCATTCTATGTTATTAAGACCAAGATAATATATCGATTTTCTTCTAAAACCTATTCCGTTATGCTAAATGGACATTTAAAAAGCCACAGAACCCTCTAAAAGCATCTAGTTTACACTAAGACCCAACAGGAGTGACAAATACTGTTAACTCAAGCATTACATGTAATGACATCGTACTAGTGATCACAGACAGAAAAAAATTTAAACAAGAATTTATTTCTTAAATTTACTTGAAAGATTAGAGCTGATACATAAGAACGTTTACAATAATGTTTAGAGTTACGTTAACATAAGACCGATAGCTATGTTAACAATTAGCACATGCAATTCACTACAGAGGTAAAAATACAATAGTTTCTCTAGACAAGCCTTCTATATGAAGTAGACTGGGGGGTAAAATAGCAAGCGAACTTCAAAGGATTGCACTTACAAGTAAAAGGTACATAGCTAGGATATAAACAGGATACACACCTAATGCTAATCGCTGTACTGTAGTACTAGCAAATTGCACACTTTTATTTAGAGTATATTCAGTAACATGTATTGACTAAAGAATTTTCAAATATCTGCTTTTAAAATATCCCTTTATTTGACATCCCATTTTGGTATTCCTGTTACAGCATTTGAAACGTGTAGTTACCATTCAGACAAAGCTTGTCTTTAAGGGATAAAAGATCTAGAACATCTAGCTATCTCCATTGGTCTTCAATGCATTTTCATCATAATCAACGGTAAAGCACTGGGTAATGAAGTTAAATAATCCACTTGAAGGAGCTGCTGACTGCAAAAAGCTCTTAAAAATTTAGGAAAAAACGAAAAACAGTAGAGCACACACCGAGTTGCCTTCTTTTTCTTTTGAATGCAATGTATACTAGAATATCATGCTAATGCATACTAGTAGCCCATATGACAAAAAAAAAAAAAAAAAGATTAATCGAAAGGATAGTACATTTAGCTCTGGAAAGTTTGTTTTGACTTACATCTGAATTGTTTATAAGTATTCTGAAAAGGAACTGAAAAGGCATTTAAAAGAATTAGGCTGTAAGTTGCTAGTTTATACCATCTTTGAAATCCATGAGAATGATCAAATGTATTTTTATTTTTTAAAATTTATTTTTTTTAGTAATATCTACACCCAAGGTGGGGCTTGAGCCCATGACCCTGAGAGCAAGGGTCACATGCCCTTCCAACTGAGCCAGCCAGGCGCCCCAACAATCACCAATTTTACGTTAAACATAAACAGCTTGTCATTTGATGGCTCCATATTCTCAATATATAGAAAAGTGCAATGAATTTTTAAAAGCAATCTTACTTAGGCAATAGAATTGAACATGACCTGCAACAGAAAGGTATCCCAGTAACTTTTAGCAATTGAATTTAAAAAATGTTATATAGCTTATTACATTGACATATTACCCATTTCAACAAAGTAACGTTAAGTATATGGTTTAAAAATTTCTTCTTAAAACCAAACATAGGAAAATGATGTAGAATATAACAGAGGAAGAGCTCTCCTATTTGACTTATACTTGGTCAATACATGCCAATTAACAAATTTTAGAGAATTGTCTGATACGACTATCCTACTTCTACATATTTGTCATGATTTTAAATAGTTAACCCTGTGGATAGAAAAAAAGACATTAAAAATTTTTTTTTGATTTCTACAAAACTAGTAAGTTCTACTTAAAGGATGAGCTTTCATAAATAAATGTTTTACAAGTACAAGGTTCATGAAGTAGAAATGAACTTCACAGTAAGCTAGGAAGATTAGATACCTTCATGTGTAAGGTTGAAATTAAATGAACATCTAGGTAGAGAACTGATACGAACACAGAACGTGTGAATGGTTCTGCTTTTTCCCCTGCTTCTATTTACATGTTGGGTATGTTCCTGAGTGCTGACTGATCCAAGTTAAAAATTTTTTTTTTTTTAGATTTTAATGGGTTTTAAGTTTGGGAGTTTTCCCATAGTTGCTCAGCATCATGCCTTTATAAGGGATGAGGGTAGGGTACCAAACACACCAGGAACAGTCAAACTACGACAGCAATACCTGTGCCACACATGCTTATTTTTTACTCCTCTGTGAGGCCAAGTGCATCAGAAGCAGTGCATTAGTTTTGTCCATAGAGAGGCTTTGTCAGCATTAAAGGAAATTTCTGGATACTCAAGATTTGGTGAGGATCACATCTACTAACTTATAGACTAATTTTCATACAAACAAGATTTGCTTCTCTATGTAAAATACAATTTACATGCCTCAAAACAAATTATCTTAAAAACCTGAAGAAAACCCCACAAATTATCCTAAGACATGGCTTAGGAAAGTTAATTTTGTACTTTAAAACAAGTTTCATGAATGCTTCTCTCGTTGGGCAAAGAGGTCTATCACATATTAGTAATCAAATCTAGGGCTATTTCTGAATGGATTATTGGTTCAGCAACTATCCATTTAGTATGTCTAAAGTGCTCTTGCACCTGGGAAGGGGGGGGCACTCAGGGCACCATGTTCTATACAAGTTTCAGAAGATTTGCTTATACAGTGTTCTTCAATGACTTCATTCTCATTCCCTTAGATTGTGAGTTTACATTTTATAACTGCTCCCATGCCCCCAAGGACAAATGTCACACTAGAATTCTTCATAACACTGCTGTTTAGCATGAGGAAGGGCAGAGCTGACCATTTTTACAGATAACAGGACTACTTACTTAGAGGAAATGAAAAATAAAGCTGATACATATTTCTTGACAGATTCTTAGCAAGATAAATGTAATCCTAGTTTGGATCAGGCTTTGACAAACCTAAATGGTGGTGGTGCCATTATCCTGTAGTGTGACTTTGGGGTCCCTCTGTCCCTATTTGGCTTCTGTGTGTCCAGTCTTCCTCATGTACTTCTCATCCTGTCATTCTGCCTCTCTCATGCTGCCTCTACCCCGTCTCACAAGGACCATGTGTGTGAAAGCGCTCTGAAACACAGCAGGCAGGAATATAAAGTCTAATAAACAGAAGGTCTAATATGAACAATATTCTGAGAGAGTAGTGAGTAGAATTAGATTTCAACTGTCAATGGATAGCAACTTTTCTTAGCCTTTTATTCTTGAATAACCTCTACAAAAATATTTGAAGTTGGCCTGGTTTTGGTGATTTAAATATGACAGAAAACCAAAACATACGTTCTGCAAATGTACCTCCTAGCACTGGTCAACCACTAATGATTTATGAAAATCTCTTCATACATCTTGTTCCTGTCTTTAGCCTAGCCTCCTTGTCAAATGTGGTGGGTAGGGTATGGCAAAAATGCAAAAGTGGGGTTAAGTGCTAAACTCTGGAGCCTGGCTCACTTCTCTCTGGGAAGAACAGAACTTGCAGGGAGAGGTTTAAAATCTCTCTAAATCACAGTGTGGAACTAAGTTCCACCTACCTCAGAACTGGCAGATATTAAAATACTATCCCTTCATTAAGTGCCTTTTTAACAGGGTATGCGCTGTGACATTTACTAACATCAACATGTACATTTTTGGATGGTGCTTTATTTTGGTAAGTAGTGCAGTGCCCATGTGCTCTTCGTTTGCTTCAAACACTAGGAAAAAACACCCCAAAACAAACCTTTGAATCTTGGCCTACTTAAAAATAAAAACAAAACATGTATCTTCACCTTAAAATGTGTTTTAATTTAACATTGTATAAAGTGCTTCATCAACCAAAATCTCCAGCATTTTTAACAAAGGGTCAATGTTTATATATATATAGAAAAATGTTAAAAATTATTCGCCATTTATGAAGACTTAGATTATTAAGATGGCTAACACAGTTTGGCATTCATTCCTAGCTCTTAACTGGGCACTCTGCTGAATTTGTGAATAACGACAGAAAGCAAATTTTGAAAATTTTAGATTACTTATTATATAATATTCCAAGATTTTTTGTAATTTGCAAAATTCACACTCGAATTCCATTCGTCTAGTGGCTGGCAGCATCATTACCAATGGAAGAGAATGTCTACTACTTCCTGTGGGCGATATTATAATTAAGCCCGCTATTTTTTTTGGTTGGTTTTGGTCAGACAACAAAAACTGGGTTCATGTAATTATGCCACCTGCAGCTCTCTCTATGCTGTCAGCTGAAGTAGAGAGTCTAGATCTCACTCATCTAATTGCCTTAACTCTATCTCAGCCACTTTATTTGGTGCCTATTCTCATTAAAATCAGTATAGCTGTACTAAGTATATCACTGCTTATTATTTAAATACCCTCTGTTTTCTAGCTACCAAAACAAAGTTTTACTTTTTCTTCAGTGCAAACATCCTGAAACAGCACAAAAATCATTCAGCTATTCAGAGGATGAAGTCAGTTTATGTAGTGCTTGAAAGTAGAATCCCAGATATTCTGGAAGGGAAACAGCCCATGTGGGAGGACAGTTTATTGTTGTCCGCAAGGGCAAATGATCATCTTCAGTGAGTGAAGATTATTTTTATCTGAAATAACAGATAAAATTAGCTTTAGTTTGCAGGTACTGCTGAAGTTGTAACAGGAACTAGTCTTCACTGAGGCATATAGCCACCTCGTCTGACAGTCTGCGGTAGGTAACTTTTAGGCATTCCTTCATCAACTGCAGCTTCCATCCCAACGGTTTCAAATCTCTCTACCTGTCCCTCAGTATGTGGGCCAAAAGCATCTGCTACAGAAACTTCTTGAAACATTTTCATTTGCCCAGATCCACAGGGCTGTGAAATATCTGAAATCTGCTGCTTGAGTCTCACAAACTCTTCTTCATTGACTGACAAAACTTCAAAATGTGAACTAGCTGGGCTGGTTTCACGTTGACTGCAGTTTTGTTTGAAATACTGTTGCCTGGGCGGACTGCCGACACCGCTCTCTGTGTTCTCTACCAGCTGTAGCTCTTCCGGCCGCTCCTCAGAATCCAACAAGGGCTGGGTGGACTCGGATCTCGAGAAGACTTGGACCGAGGGCACCTGGTGTCTGTAGCCGCTGTGCACCACCGTGGAGTACTGGACGGTGCCCGAAGTGTTTGGTGCAGACTCATTTTCGTCGCTGCTGGAAATGCTTGGCCTAGAGGAGGACATGCACGAAGACCCTCCAATACCACTGCTGTGTCCTTCAGTACTAATTTTTTCCTTCTTGAACAGGTCCAGTGATTTCAGATCTTCTGGAAAAGGCTTCTTGTCATTGGCTGCTTCTATTTCCACAACACTTACATCAGTGAAATTGCCATCTGAATACATTTGATCTTTTGAATTAAAATTATGCTAAGAAAGAAAGAAAAAAATGTATTATTACCTCTGGCATATATTCATTCAGAAACTCTGAAACATACATGGCAAATTCTAGTTAAGACCACAGAGAAATGCATCTCTGAAACTTCTCAGTAATTCCCATGGTGCAGAGATAATCTGGATCACTGAGCCCTGTCAACTAGCTGAACTGCAGATATTGTGGAAATGATTCTGAGAAGCATGAATCAGACTATATTTCATCAGAACTCCAAATCAATACTGTTGTTCAATTCTGATAAGCTACTGGTGTACAAAGACTATGGAGCCTATGATTATCAGGATATAAAAACTAGAAAAATCAAACTCAAATGACTTAAGTCTCATAGAAGGTAAGATTAAAATGTGTTCTATGTTTTAACATTAATCAAGGATTATTAGAAGGTAATAAAGTTCAGTCATTTCACTGTAAGGAGGTTCAAAGAATTTAGTCTAGGTTTCTAGAAATCATTTCAACAGCATCAAACTGGTATACTGTTAAATTTGATTTTAATATCCTATACAAAATGCTTGCCTTACAACACAGTTACCACAGAGCAGTATTTACACATTAACTTTTCTATTTTACAAGTTCAATCAAGTGCTTTTCATGTTTACTGAATAGAATAAGGAATATCAGATTATGTTGTGATAATACTTTATTATCATTTACTTTTCAATTTGGGCTCATCATCTGGTTCAACTCTGTAAATGTACCCTAACATGCCCGTGTATAAACAAGTCAGAAAAACTGTATCTTACCCTAGGAGGTGTATGAGGTGACCACTGGGCAATAAGACTCTTTGAAGGATCTGGAACATTAGGCCAGATATGTTTTTTAATTCTGGAGAGAAAAGAAATATAATGTCTGTAAAATCACAAGTAATAAACAACGAATAGTCCCTGATTCTAAACATGAGCTTAATCTAGCATAATGAAAAACTGTTAAGTATTCAATTTAAAAAACTGAAATAAAATTCAGCAATAAAAAACAATTAAAAAGTTGAGCCAGGTCACAAAACCTTAGAGTACACCCCTTCCTAACAACAAAAAAAGCAAAAATGTTTAATTTCCAACTAAAACCACATAAAAATTTTTCACATAACTACCAGAAAAAAATGATAAATTTCATTTTTTCACAAGTATTTACCTTAATATAGTTCCTAACCCCAAGTTAGAGATCCCTAAGTGTACAGGAAGTGAGTCATCTTTAGAGTAAGTTCAAATATAAAAACAGTAATAAGATCCCAACAGACTGACTCTCCTGTGGAAACAACTATGAAATCTGGGTATAATATAAAAAGCAATAAAGTTAACAACCTAAACAAAAATAGCAACCAGTCAATGGATGAACTCCTTGAAAGAGACTGAAAGAAAATTTGAAGTAAACTAACATTCTTCCCACAAGAAAATCTCAGGCTCAAATGGTAAATTTTAGCAAACACTTAAATAATATGAATCCTATGTAAACTCTCCTGGAAGACAGAGAGGGTAACATGTCCCCATTCATTTGATGAGGTAATTACTATTACCCTGATTTCAAAAGTAGGTGAAGACCCCACCACCAAAAAAAAAAAACAAAACAAAACCCAGTGTCACTCATAAACATAAATGCAAAAATTAACAAACTGAATCCAGAAAAGTCTGAGAAATGCAAGAATGGTTTAATGTGTGGAAAAAAAAATCAATGAATAAAATTCACCATATAAGGAGGAAGGAGAAAAATCGTATGATCATCAACAGATGCCAAAAAAGCATTTGACAAAATTCAACACCCATTCATGACAAAAACTCTCAGCACAATAGAAATATAAGAGAACGTCCTCAACTTAAAACCAACATCACATGTAATGATCAAAAACTGAACGGCTTTCTCCCTTAAAACTGGTGATAATGCAAAGTTTTACTTAACCAGTATAATAAGAAAAATAACTGAAAACAAACATCAGAATAACCATCTTTACTGGTTAGCAGCGAAAATGCTAAATCCAAAAAGGTACTAGAGTAGATGAATGTATCCAGGTCTTAGTATACAAAGACAATATATTTTTTAAGAAATTGTATTTCTATTTCTAGCAATGGATAATTAGAAAATAAAAATTTCTGAAAATGCCATTTACAACTGTATAAAAAATATTTAGGAATAAATTTAACATAAGATGTGTAAGGTCTATCTAATGGAAACAACAACATACTGCAAAAGAAAATTAAAACCTAAGAGATCTTAACATATCCCTGAACTGAAAGACATGTGACTTATGAAGAGGTGAACTCATGTTCAGATTGCAGTTTTTCCCTAAATTGACCTGCAGATTCAATAAAATCTCAACAATGTACAAGAGTTTTTAAAGGAAATTTCCTTTTCACATAAATATTAATATCAGCTTATCAAAGATTCTAGCCAAAATAATTTTGAAAAATAATATATTAGAAGAATTCTAACTGCTCTCAAAACTTAATTTTTAAAATTAAGACAGTATGGTATTGGGATGAATAGACAAAGATCAATGGAATAGAATTGAGAGTCCATAAATAAATCCAGACCTACGTGGATAACTGATTTTGACAAAGATAGGTATCTTTAATACAATGGGGAAAAAAGTATTTTCACTAAATAAAGCTGGAACAACTAACTAGGTATCTATGGAAAAAAAATAAATGAACCTTGACCCTGACCTTATTCCATGCACAAAAATTCTGAATAGACCACAGACATATGGCTACAATGATTAAAGTTCTAGAGGAAAACAAAGGAGAACAATACTTGTGACTGACTTAGGCAAAGATTTCCTACACAGGACATAAAACACAAGAATCACAACCTGATAAAATGGACTTCATCAAAATTAAAAACTTTGTTCTTCTAAAGTCACAGTGAAGAAAATGAGAAGGCAAAGCCACAAGACCAGATTGTCCAAAACACATTTGAGAATTTTGTAATCAGAATATATAAAGAACTCCTACAGTTCAATATTAAGGCAAACAACCCAATGTAAAAATGGGCAAGATTTCAGAAGATATATCATGAAAGAATATATAGATTTCAGAAGATGTATCACAAAAGAATATATAGAAATGGCACATGAGAAGATCCATTACTAGTTACTAGGGAAATGGAAATTAAAATTACAATGAAATAGCATTACACACTGATAAGGAAGTGGCTAAAATTAAAAACTGTAACTGTACCAAGAGTTGATAATATGGAACAACAGGAAGGCTCACAGAGCTGGTGAGAATACAAGATGGTATATCTGCTTTGAAAAATAGTTTGACAGTTTATTATAAAGTTAAATATGCACTTACTATCTGACCCAGCAATCCCACTACTAGGTATTTACACAAGATAAATGATAACATGCTCACGCAAAGATCTGTAGGTGAACATTCATGGCAACATTATTCACAATAGTCCCAATTCAAAGAAACAACGTGAACTTCCATAACAGATGTATCAACAAATTTTGATAAATCTATACCATAGAATACTATTCAATAAATAGGAGAAAAATAGTATATGCAACAGTAAGTCTCAATAACATGTGAAATGAAAGACGTTATATAAAAACACTACATATTATTTGATTCTGTTTATATGAAATCCTAGAAAAGGCAAAACTACAAAGAAAGCAAATCAGTAATTACTTGGGGGCCAGAGGTTGAGGGAGAGAATAGAGCATAAATCCAGGGGAAAAACTGCAAAAATAAAATTAGGGGTACTTACAGGTCTCGCTTATTAAAGCAGAACAATACTCCCAAAAGGGTTGTCAATAGGAATGCTAAGCAAACAGGGACAACTATCGCTTCAATTTCTCCTTGAGCTAAAAAACAGAAAGGGGTAAGAAGGAAAACAATGGTTAATGCATATGTTGACACAAACAATAAAACTTCCCAGCCAGAGGATTGTTGAAGAGATGAAATACCATCCTGTTTTTACAGCCTTTTCAAACTTAAATGGCTGTTTTCTCCCCTCTCCCTCTTCTTGGTAAATGATATCCTAGCCCTTTATACCTTACACTGTAACCTGGCCACAGGGTGAAAATAAACTATATGTTGGTTAGGGGAATAAAATGACTAAGTTCATTTTATTGGACAGATAATCTATAAGTTAGAGCTCCCAAACCTAACCATTTATTACATTTATGATCTGCCAGCAGAATCTTAACAAAAGTTTATCTTTGAGATCTGTGAGTACTGGGGAGAAGTGGAAAAGTTGTAAAACAATCTTAATAATTGAAACTACAAATATGATCCTCTATGAGGAATAAAAATAAAATTTTTAGTAGCTATCTACTATTTTCAAAAAGATGGCATCAGGGTGCCTGGATGGCTCAGTTGGTTAAGTGTCCAACTCTTGATTTTGGCTCAGGTCATGATCTCAGGGCAGTAGGATCGAGCCCCAAGTCAGGCTCTGCATTTCAGCAAGGAGTCTGCTGGAGATTCTCTCTCCCTCTCTCTGCACTCCCCACCCCCGCGTTGTGTGCTCTTTCAAATAAATAAATCTTAAAAAAAAAAAAGATGGCATATCTGATAAACGGCTAAGAATTTATAAGAATCTTTTTTTTTTCCTTTTTTTAAAGATCTCAGTTGAGAGAGAGAGAGAGGAAAGAGCATGAGCAGTGGGGAAGGGCAGAGGGAGAGAGAGAAAAGCAGATTCCCTGCTGAGCAGGGAGCAGGCAGGGCTCCATCCCAAGACTCTGGGATCATGACCTAAGCCGAAGGCAGATGCTTAACCGACCAAGCCACCCAGGCGCCCCAGAATTTTTAAGATTCTTAAGTACAGGGGCGCCTGGGTGGCTCAGTCCTTAAGCGTCTGCCTTCGGCTCAGGTCCTGATCCCAGGGTCCTGGGATCGAGTCCCGCATCGGGCTCCCTGCTCAGCGGGAAGCCTGCTTCTCCCTCTCCCCTGCTTGTGTTCCCTCTCTCACGCTCTCTCTCTGTCAAGTAACTAAATAAAATCTTTAAAAAAAAAAAAAAAAAAAAGATTCTTAAGTACAAGGAGTGGCAGCAGTAGGAATAGTATCACCTAATCAGTAAGCATAAGGTTTCTAAATAGCAGATGATACCTAATCTGCATTTAAAAGAGGGCTTACTTAACCAAATGAATCATTAATTGGATAGTTTATATTGGAATTTTTAATGATTTACCTTATGGTTGTTTCTGGTTAACTCTTCCAGTCTCCTCCTAATTAGTCTTTTATGGGAAAACTTTATAAAAGTAATATTGCAGTCATATGCTATTCACTTAGTCTAATCTTTGCACCACACACATCCCTTTGCAAGTAACTTTATTTTCTACAAAGCTTAACACAAAACAGTAAGTCAGATCAATGCTCAGGAATAAAGTGTAGATTGGCAAATACTAACTCTTGTATGCTCAGGTTTCATATACATACCAAATCAAATTCAGGCAGAACATTTTCTTTACTGCTGCTAAACTTACTAGGTTTTTATGTCTTGGGCCTTTGCTCATTCTGTCCCAAGATGCCTTCTTCCTATTTGTTCACAACCTAACCTCAAGGCTCAAGTACCGTTTCCTTTATAAAATCATCTTTGAAGATGAAACTCCCCCCTACTAATTATCTTTAAATTCCCACTCTATTTACAGCCGACATGGCCCAAATGCCTTTCCATTCAATTACTTTACTTATGCTGTATTTCTTTAAATACACTGGTAAGGTCCTTTGGGAGCAAGGCCCATGCTATATTAAGAAGCCATAATAGTTAAACAAAACAACAAATAGATCAGTGAAAAAAGCAGATGATGAAGTAAATCCTGACAAGTATGCTCTAATTTTTGGGAAAAAAAATGTATGCATTGATAATACTAGAAGGATATACAAATATGTTAAGAGATTATTCTAGATGCGGGATTAGGAGTGGATTTTTCTTCTGCTCTACAGAATGTTACTTTCATAATCAGGATAGTATTTTAAAAGCTTATTTTTTTTTTAAGATCAACTTCAATTATTACTTGTTACATATGTATTTTATTAACATGTCACCACAAATCTTATTCCAGAAACTATGTTCATTACTGGCTAGCTATCACAGCAAAGCTCAGGATCTTTTATTATCTATTTTATGTAGTTATTCATTCATTCATTTTCTCATTCAGCATTCAATCAATAAGGAATATGTAGTTTCTACTTATCAATCATGGTGCTGGTACTTGGGGGTGGAGGTTACAAATACAATAAAATAAGGTAATTTCTATATTGACTCAAAATGTAGTAGGAACAAGAAAGAATGCAGCTTCAGTCTGTGTTAGGGAGGCTAAAGGAAGAGCCAAAACAAGGGAAGGTGAGGAGCTAACATAGGGCTACCCATTAGGAAAAGCAGAAAAAGATGGAGAAAATCATGAGAAGCTTAGGGTCAAGGAAAGAGATTATCAAAGGGCATGCAAAAGGGCACCTGGGTGGCTCAGTTGGTTAAGCAACTGCCTTCGGCTCAGGTCACGATCCTGGAGTCCTGGGATCGAGTCCCGCATCAGGCTCCCTGCTGCTCAGCGAGGAGCCTGCTTCTCCCTCTGACCCTCCCCCCTCTCATGTACTCTCTCTCTCTTTCTCGCTCTCTCAAATAGATAAATCTTTAAAAAAAAAGCAGTAATTAGAAGGCATGATCAATAGGACTTTATACTTGGCTTATGTAAGCAAAAAGAGGAAGAAATTTACTATCATCTAAATTTCTGGCTTTGGCAAAGACTTGGATGGTTTTGTCAGGGAAAAGAGAAACATATTTGGGAAGGAGAGAAAGGATGGCTGAAGTCACGGACAGGTAGTGTGAATAGGTAGATAATAAAAGAGGGCTGAGAACAGAGTTCTGGAAAATACAAACCATTTTTTTTTTTTTTTAAGATTTTATTTATTTATTTGAGACAGAGAGAATGAGAGACAGAGAGCATGAGAGGGAGGAGGGTCAGAGGGAGAAGCAGACTCCCTGCCGAGCAGGGAGCCCGATGCGGGACTCGATCCCGGGACTCCAGGATCATGACCTGAGCCGAAGGCAGTCGCTTAACCAACTGAGCCACCCAGGTGCCCCAATACAAACCATTTTTAAAAAGAAGAGTGAACAGGAGGCCAAGGAGGAAGTACCAGAGAGGGAGAAGATTCAGGAGAGTGCTATTACAAAAAGAAGTTTAAAGAACCAAGGGAAGAAGCAGTTTCAAGGATGGAGAAGAGAAGCCAACAGAGTCAAATGCTGAGAAGTACAGAAAAATGACTAAAAAAGCAGGCCCTGGAGATCATAACTAAGAGGACTTCCGTGAGTGACATCAGGGAGATTTCAGTGGCGTGGTGGGCTGGAGGCCTGGGTTCAGCACGTCAAAGACAGAGCTGGAGGAATGGAAGTAGAGCCTGCAAGTGTGGACTCATCTTTCCAGCAACCTGCCTATAAAAAGGAGGAATAAGAGAAGGAGGAAAGAGACCACACTCGATTTTTGCCAGTGAAAATATGATCCCATTTAGAAAGATACACAAATTCTTTTGGCATTTATAGAGTATAGATGAAGTCAGTGAGAAGCAGTTAATGAAATAACAGAGGTGAGTTTTGATAGTTTAAAGAAACAACCAAAATCCGATAAATACAAAAACCATAATTTATGAAAAATGCATTTCTATGATTCAAAGATACATTTTTAACAAAATTTTAGCTTATTAACTAAGTCTGTTTTTAGTCTGATTAAATTTTAAAAAGAAAAAAAGAGAAGGAAAGAGCAAACATCATTCTTTCTTACCAAACTTTGGTGTAGTGAAAGTGAATTCTGGGCCATCCTTTCCCCCTTCATCTGTATATGCTGCCATTCGTACCATGTACAAAGTGTCACTGGTCAAAGAAGACAGTGTATATTCTGTGTGGGAAGAATCCACATTCACAGCTAGAAGAAATCAGTAAGTGTGGCTTATTCAACTGCTCAATGTTTCTGCTTGATTTGGCTTTTATTTGACATTGCAAAAGTATTAAAAAGGAAAAAAAATACATTTTTCAGGAAATAACTTTCATATCTCTGACATAATATTCTTCTCCCATAAGCACAACACAGTTATTTCTTTAATGGGACCATGAAAGCAACCATAAGGCATATTCTCAGGTGTCTCTTTTCTGATGATAATATACTCTAAGATATATAACTTAAGGAGGTGAGACTTAACATTTAAAAGCTTAAGAAAAACACCAGTAATTCTTAATAACTGATAGTTTCATTACCAGTTTCATTTCCAATGATGGTTCTATAAAATATAGTATAATTCCGGATAAATCCATTCTGAACATCAACAGGAAGTTGGTCCCACTCTAAGACAGCTTCATTTTTCCCCACTTTTTTTGTCCGAACAGTAGGTCCTTTGGAAGGTGCTAGAATAAAAGTATTTGGTAACTAAAAATCATTATAATTCAGTATATCACGAGAATTTACTAAAATTTAATTATTATATTTGAACACTGTAAGGCATATCCTTATTTAAAAAAGATAAAATGTCTTTGTTAATAGAAAACTCAACACATTTCCAAGAAAATGAATTTGGACTTACGAGCTTGTTTAAGGTATGCTTTTATAGACTCGGGGCTTCCTGGTCCATCAGCATATATTGGAGTAACTGTTATCAAATAACATTTGCTCTCTGCTAGATTCCCTAAAGAAAGAATAGGAGAGTAAACATTTTTTCCCCGTAACAAAAAAAAAGTCTAACTCCATTATTTATTTTTACACTATAATTTCATGGTTATTGAACTTTCTTTTCAAACTGCAGCTTTTAAAGTAAGCATTGCTTGGGGCGCCTGGGTGGCTGTCGTTAAGCATCTGCCTTCGGCTCAGGTCATGATCCCAGGGCCCTGGGATCGAATCCCACATCAGGCTCCCTCCTCCGCAGGAGGCCTGCTTCTCCCTCTCCCACTCTCCCTGCTTGTGTTCCCTCTCTCGCTCTGTCAAATAAATAAATAAAATCTTTAAAGTAAGCGTTGCCTTTTGTGTACTGGATTCAAGCTTAATAGAGTAAAGCTATTTATGAAAGTAAAAGCTTACTTTTATATTCCAATATGGTGGAAATATTTATCAGTAAAAGTAATTATTATATTTACATCCAGGACTTAATAAAACATTGATTTCAAATTATCCTTGGTCTTATAGCTTCAGTGTTTGTACATCTTAACTAATTCTCAGAAAACTGCCTAAAGACCTACTGGTAAGAGCTAGGGAAATGGCCCTGGTTTGTAAAGTAACTGGGAAGAAAAGAATTAGTACTATTTCCTCCAAAGGGTAAAAAAAAAATTTTTAAATAATCTCTTCAAATTAACAAAGTAATCTATTCCTTTAATACACAATAGTAAAATCTTTTTAAAAATCTTTTTATATAGAATTCTATCTGTCCACATCAGAAAATAAGGTATTTGTTATACTGAAGTTTATACATTCAACAAGAACTTTTATTTCCTCAACTATTACTCATAAAGTTATATATGCTTCTTTGCTTTCTTAAACAGAGTAATTTCACTTTTTCTTGATGACTCAATATTATCAAGAAGATGAATTAAGTGTTAAACTCTGCTGTAATACAGTGATGTTATCAGAGCTATGAGCTATTGGGGCTCCCTGTGCAACCTGAAGGTCTCTGGAGATGATGCTATGCTTTCTTAAAAACATTTCTATTGTCTAGTTACTACCAACGTGCATCTTCTCTCTAGCTCCACCTTGCTTTTGATAAGGCTGATAAACAGCCAAATTTATTAAAATTGTCTATTAAATAAGAGGTTAACGAGGGCCAAATAGCCTATTTTATAAATAAAACAAACTTTATGGCAGATATGTCCTTGTTTACAGCTTTTCTCTAATTAATCATATTATTCATAGCTGAATTCTAATGGTTCTCCTTCTTGACTAAAATAAAACAAAAACATACAAGCTGAGTGTTTTCTCTTTAAAGCTGTTTTATCACTTCAAAGCCACAGAGTTAAGTTGTACCTTAAAACGCAGGGCAATCCACCATTTTGGAGCTCTACAACATCATTACTTTCTGTCCATTACAACTTCCAGTTAAAAGACAAGGAAATCTGAGTTCTAATTCTGCTTCCCCTATTCAACAGCTTTAAGGGTTTAACAAGTCATTCAGATGCTACAGGAAAATATTTTCTCATTGCAGGATGAGGAGTTAAATCAGGTATAGAAAAAATGCAACTAATTACAAGCAGAGGTCATATTACCTTATAGTTCTCTTTATAGTTTTTTAAGTGTTCCTTTGAGATCAAAACACTTAACTCTAAAGAGAAGATACTATTAGCCCCACTTTGTCCATAAACAGACCCTGCAAATGAATGAGGTTATATGCGACCTGGTGAGAGTCACACATCTGGCAAACTAGATGTAACTAGTAACTGATAAATTGAAGATCTTTTCAGGGGACCACAACATCTGTAAAGCACACAAAAATATGTGAAAGAAAAAGCTGTCTAAAGGATATCAACTTAAAATTTTTTCTAGCCAGGTATACCTCTTAAATAGGTGCGGTGTACAGTACCATCTTCTTGTTGCCAGTCTGGGATACAGGGCGATTTATCTGATAATACACACCACTCAAGTACGTATTTGTTTACAGATTCATTTGGAGCTGTCCATTCTACCCAAAGCATATTATCTTTGGGAAATGCTTTAAGATCCGTTACAGGGCGAGTAGCTTTAAAACAAAGTTGGAATACCGATATGATAAATGAACATTAAAAAATTTGAAATTTTGATATTTTACATTTCCATAACCAGTTTTTGTAGCGCATATGAATATGTATTTCCATGAATAAAGGCACTTTATCATCATTTACATACACAATTTATTTTGAAACTAAAATTCCTTTCTCAAAATTCTTCAAATGTTTTCTATGTGTAAATGGCATTTTTTTCCCTCTTTGAAAGCAATGAGCAATATATTTAAGGCATACTCATATATGGTTCCCAGAGCCTTAATATTTAAAAAACCAGGTAAGCAATCAGAAAAGGCCGAAATAAATTAAGCAGTTTACTCCCAAGTTTAAGTGAGCCACATAATAATGGAACAAATTATTTGGTTGTTGACTTAGAATAATTACGTACTACGCCTCAGAATATCTTCTACATTAGGAACCACCTTTTCCCATCCGTAAGTCGACTCCATCTCACAGACACAAACCTTGAAAATCATAAGCAGGAATAGTTAAAACAGCTGCATCTGATTTGCCAACCAGATTTCTTGCTGTGAGAGTTGCTATGTAACGCTCATTTGTGATGTTTACTGTCCATTTTGTGTCATTAACTGTGTAATTCTGTAAACGTGATTTCCATCTTGTGAGAGTCACTTCATAATCCAAAATTTTTCCATTGGCTTCAAAAGGAGGCAATGTCTATAATAAAATAGTTTATTTTAAAAATGTATTTAATAAAGGTTAATCAGTTTTCTCCATGTTCACAAATTCTGCTGTTATGTCAAAACTCTAAATGTTTAACTGAAAGGTACTTGCAACCTCATTTACAATTTACTACCTTAAGTAAAACTACTACATAGTAAATGAAGAGTAAACCCATTGACTTTGACTAGGAGGGAAAGCACCATTTCATTAGCTTTTAGTTCTGTGTATAGTACCTGCACTGTGGCTATCTGACCCTAAATTATATTTTATGCCTGAGTATTTTTTTTTTTTTTTAGTATGATACACTTGCAGACTTATGGAGTTGACAATAATTTTGTATTTCCTATTACTGGCATACATTTTGATCACTCAAAACCTTTAGTAATTATTTTCTATGAGGCACTCAGGGAAATTCAATGACAGATAAGATCCTTCTCATAGAACTTTTCATAGAACTGTGATGAAGTATTTATGAGATAAAACCTGCTCTTTATGGCCCTTTTATGTAGTATATACAAAGCTTTGTTTCTATTTATCAAATGTTTTCCTGATACTAAGATGAATAAAAATTTAAGTTAAAAAACTACACTCACAATGCCATATAAAATATATCTATGTAAGTGATAAAAGAACATAAACATGCAATTTTTTACCTTCCATATGAGTTGTACAGATCTATAACCATGAGTACGGGATGGCTCTATCTTATACCAGAAACTTGGTGCCTTGGATGGTCCTAAAGAAATGACATAACATTTTTAAAATAAAATTTTTTAACAATAAAATATAATCTTGGAAATTATTCTTTTCCTTTGTTCTTAATATTCCTGCCCTTCAGTCACTGTTTAAACTCTCATTTTCCCCACCCTAGCATGCTTTGCCTGGGTCTTCCTTTAGTCAGGATGATAGATAGCTTGATAATTTAGATTATATCGGGATACTTTTCTAATCTTTAAATTGTAAAGCTACGAACACATCCTAAAGGTATAACCAAAGATGGATCACCATTTCTTACTGCTAAAAATCAAACTGAAAAATTTTATTTAAATATATACTTAAAACTCCTAAATGTATATATGTAAGAATATAAAACAAAATAAATGGGAGTAAATGTGGGCTAAGTGTATTACCTTATGTTAGGATGACTGTTGATAGGATATAATAAAAATGAATTCACAGTGCTATTGTCATAATCACCAACAATGTGAAAAATGAAAATCCACTTTATAAAACCAAGTATCAAATGCTATTAGGTTTTAAAAATTCCTATAGAATCAGCTGATTTTTCAAAATTTTTGTAAGTGCAATTATAAGATATGGTTCAATAGAATAAAAAAGGATCTGAATAAAATCTAAGCAGTGATATGATGATTATGAAGAGGTAATTATAGAGGTCAAAAGAGAGAAGAGAGGCAAGCCTGGGGACAAGGTGCCAGTACAGGGGGTTCAAACAGATACACATACATGAGTATACAAAATGAAGACCAAGAAACTATAATGAAAATGTTACAGGCCAGAAAGACTTCCTAACATAAGAAGAACCTAGAGGAATCATTCATTGATGATTAAGTTGAAGAAATGCTTAATCTAATGGTTCATAATTTTCCAGGTATCTTTTTGACAAAGGCCATGTACCATCTCCCCAGAAAACGCACACAGGCACTAACCATAATATTTTGCCCACACTTAAAGAGTAGTTCAGGAACCACCCTCCTCTCGCCTCCCTTCCGCACTGACCCACCAGCTTTCAACGCCCCAAGGATCCCAGTTTAAGAATTCCTGGCCAAGACAAAGAAATCCAGTTGAAGACCCCCAAATCAGCAATAGCAGTATTGCTTTCTTTCATGTCATTTATGAGAGTAAGAGAAAATTCTTAGTGGAGAAAGGTAGTTTACTTTTCTGCCTCTCTCATTTCACTATCCAAACCTCTAGTGGAGCTAGAAGTGAAGGGACAGAGGTGGTACAGGAGGTTTTAAAGCCATTGACACCTGAAGGGTGAAACTATGGAAGAAAACTCTTCAAAAATAAAATCTGGATGCTACAGGACTATTTCTTGACCGCTACAAAAGAAATTACTGATGTTAACTGCTATGGGCAAGGGATCTTACCTTGGACACCATATACCCTTTTATGACTTTTTGATTCTGTACTATATGCCCTATATGATCGTGGGGGGGGAAAAAGGAAAATGAAAATAAACCAAAACTCCAGGATTCTTTTCCAGGGCTTTATTAAGTGCTGGCAGAAACAAACAAATAATAGTACAAACATATTTCTGACAGTGAGGGGCTATGGTATATTTTGTTAGTATCATTTTAATGAGTCAGGATATGATTTTCTATTCAGGGATATCTCTGAACCACTGTCCTTTAATAAAATGTTCTGGACTTAACTGTTAGGTCAGTGGTTTTCTCATGGTCATTCCATGGTAATTTTATTAGGAATCAAATATATTTATACCATCAATAATGCACACTTTATATCCTGATGTCCTTAAAGAGAATGAAAGTGTAAAATGTTTGAATAAAATGGTCACAAAATAAGAAGCAACGAGGTATTATTAAAACCAGACACAATTCATAGCCATTAATTCCAAAACCTTCCTCATATATCTTAATTACTCACTATCTTCATATGTAATACCGCTTGCTTCTTCACTCCAGTCACTCCAGAATCCTTTACCATCTTCTTTCATACAACGAATCCTAAACACATACTCTGTAAAAGGTTTAAGGTCCTGGACAGTGAATGAAGATCGGGTGGATGCTGTATCTTCAGGAGGAATCTGAAATCAAAGCAGATCAACCAATAAAAAACCCAATGGTATTTATTGTAACTGTCCTAAATTCTCAAAGATTTTAGAAACTGATCTAATGAAACAAGACTAATAAATTAAACTCAAGCTCTGGAGAGATATAAATGCAAATCAAAAAGCAGTCTAAATTAATGAAGTAAATAGATTTGGGAAGTATGGAAAACATCTATTATTAATCCTTCATTTATTTATTTTTTTTCTTCCATGGGGCCTGTAACACTTAGGGTCTCAGCAGGAAAAAAGATGGTATACTCCAAGTAGAATTTAATTCAAGAAGGGTTTACACAAAAGGAAGTATGGGCAGAGTGTAGGGAAACCTCTTTAGATAGTGGTCATTACTCAGGGGCTTGTAGCTGTTATTACTCCTAGGCCAAAAGGGATGAGGGGAGGTACCAGAAACTGGGAGAAGAGGGTCAGATGGGGTTAATTTGAGAGGTGCAGTGATCTTAGGCTGAGAGACATGGGTAGCTCCAGGGAGGAAGGAGGGAAAATAAATATGCTGATTTCACTTGTCTCTTTTGCCAGACCCCCTGCTCCCATTAACCATATTCACTAGGAAACCAGAGAGAATGTGAACCCACAGATGAAATCCATACAGGTCAGCATTCCAAGACAAAGAGTAGAGTAGAGCAGAGCAGAGTGCAGCTCTGGATAGGAAAAAGGAATATATCCAACTCAATCAAGAAAAACAAAAGGTATCATCGTATATAAACTTGGTTTTCAGGAAAACAGAGAATATAAATAACTGATCCTACTACTCTGAGATTTTAATACTGAATACAAAGTAGGTGTCAAATTTTTTTTGTTATCAATGAATTAAGAGTCTATGATATCAAAAAACTATTTTGAAGTTCAGGTATGTATCGTCTCTGTACAACATGAAGCATTAATCCATTTTCATTTGTTGCTTTTTCTAACTTTATTTTGAGCAGCCCTTCAGATAAGTGGAATGGAGAGTATTAAGATCATGGGCTCAAATCCCTTATGAGCTCATTACTGCAACAAGAGAAAGCAAAAGCATAGTGTTTGTGACAAATGAAGTTATAACAAAGAATACTTTGTGGAGCACAAAGCTATGGTGATTGTCTTTTTAAAAGTTCCAAGTACTTCTTTTGGTGACAGCATCATCTCTGGGTACACTGTTCTGTTCCTTTTCAGTCTTATAAGTTCCCCCCAACAACTCCTTCCTCTACTAAGAAGTTGACATGATTTCTTAAAAGGGCTAGATACTAAATATTTTAGGCTGTGGGCCGGATAGTCTCTGTTCCAACTACTCAACTTGTCCACTGCAACACAAAATAGCCAAAGACAATAAAAAAAAAAAACCAAAACGAGTGTGGCTGTGTTCCAGTATAACTTTATTTATACAGACAGATGGCAGGCTGAAATTGGCCTGCAGATTTAGTTTGCCAACTCCTGCTCTACCTTAGCCAAATAATCTCTTCATATACTCCCCACTTAATTTGCTTATTTTTTGTGTTCCTTTCACCTCCCATCAAAAATACTATTCCTTATCACCTGGTATCACTTCCATACTTCACTTAAAAGCTGCCGCACTCAGCAAAACTGTATTTTCTATCTGAATGTCTTCCTGTTTGCCCTTGCATGAAATACAGATCAAGAAGATGAGTCAAGCAAAATATTTCATATAACCACAACCTTAGGATATTGAGACTTTTAGGTTCAAGACTAAGGGTTGTAAGACTATTAGCATAAACAGTAACTTGCAATTTACCTGGCTCCAAATTGAGGCATCTCTGGTCCTATATTGAATGTTGTACTTCAGTCTTATAAAACCCTGAATACTTGAGTTGATCCATGTCAATTTTAAGATACTGGACAGTTCCTCTGAGTTGCTTACGGATAAATTATGTGGCGGATTGGGTTTCACTGAAGAATAAAATAAATCCAAATGTTTATCATGGTTTATTTTTACAACTTCTTACACAAACTCAAACATACTACTTATATTTTATTTCACAATATTTATTTATTCTTACCAAATGAACTAATTTTTTTGAAAACAATGTGATGTCATACTATTATAATGGAGAGGAAAGGTTTCTAAAGAAATTTTAGTTTTGTCAGTTATTATATGCTTGTTAATCTTTTTAGGTTATCAAAATATTTATGATATATGTAAAGAAAAAGACAATAAAAAAACGTGTACTATAATTGCTATGTTGTAAAATGTTTGATAATTGCATAAATACTAGCAGATAACACTCAAAGTGCAAACCACTGTAGTATAGTTGGATTATTAAGATTTTTCCAGATTATTTTTAAAGTTGTTGTTAAAATAAATTTGTAAAAATCACTAAAATAATAAGTGCTTATTTCTATATTAATTAAAATCTAAAAACTAAATTAATAAGCCACTGCATATATCCTAACAAATTCTCAAATTCAGGTTTATAACTACCTTTATCTACAGGATCAAAATTTATATGATCTGATGTAACCTTCCCAAGGGCATTCTCTGCTTCTACCCAGACTTCAATGTTGACAAAATACACAGGAGAATAATCAACAGTACATGAGGTGGGAGTGTCACGTTTTGTTTTACAATCAGCAAACTTCTCTGTTGCCCTAAATACAAAAATGGAAGAACTGGTCATTAAAAACAGATTTTAAAAAATTAAGAGTGAAAAAGGTTACTTGATGAGACCCAGACTGTTACAGCTTAAAATAAAATTTCTTAAAAACTATCATGCTTTCCTTTAAAACTGAGTTTGATCTATATCTTAAAACATATTATTTTCAAATTTTTACTCCAAGAACATTACATTTAGAATACTATACTCTATCCCCAATGACCCGTCTCCGAAAATAATTTCCTGTGATCTTCTTTCCATTCCTGAAACAGAATCCTTACTGTACCTGCAATGTCCTTCTTTAAGCACAGTATGATTTTTCTAAGCACAATATGTTAGGAGGTGACAGGAGGACAGGGATAAGTATTTCTGTCAACCCCAGAAAATCCCCTTAGCCTCTTTCCAGTCAAACCCAGGCAAACACTTTCTGATTTCTATCACCAAAAAAGTTTCAAGTGATAATACTATTTACTCACTTATATTTAAATTACGCATCAATTAAAAAGACATATACACACACATACACACATTTTTTTAAAATAAAAGGGTAAGTCAAAACCACAACAAAGCAGGTAACTTTTATGAATTACTATGATGTATACCTGAAACAAACAGGATACTGTATATCAATTATATCTCACTTTAAAAATTCCTAAAACTCAAAAGCAAAATGAAACATATGAACTCTTGTATTGAGTTGGTGCTGTAACACACAGAAAACTATTTTAAGTGTCTTTTTTTGTTTAAAGATTTTATTCATTTACTTGACAGAGAGAGAAAGAGCAGAATCAGGGGGAACGGAAGAGGGAGAAGCAGACTCCTTGCTGGGCAGGGAGCCTGATTCAGATTCGGAGCCCGGGATCATGAACTGAGCCGAAGGCAGACGATGAACTGACTGCGCCTGGCGCAGGCGCCCCTTTAAGTAGCTTTAAAATTTAAGTAGCTTTAAAACAGTAATTTAACTATATCCTTAGTGGAAGAAAAATAATCTTTAAAATTCTTTTTAGTATTCACATTGTTGGTACTGATACTGGCATTGCTATTCTGCAGCGGCTATGCTTACTGAGATAAAGCAAATGAGTTATTATATTGGTGCTGCTGGAGACCAAGGTTTTCAGCACAGAAGAAAGATGTAGATGTTAGATGGATGAAACTAAGTAAAAACAGGTAGTCCGGATTTTAAACTGGAAATATCAGTATTAGCGCATGATGTATTTTACCCTAAAAATGTTTCCTAACTGTTTCTGCTGTAAAAGCCTAGAAATAACAAGCTCCCCTAGCACCCAGACTGTAGTCTCTAAACAGTAGTTCCTACTAAATGGAACCACGGCTACATGGGAAATGGGTGATTCTAGGTCTGGGGCAGGACATATACTAAGGTGAATCTGGAAAATCATGTCATACCAGAAAGGAAGAAAGCTGTCAAAGACTAATGAGTGAAGTCAAAAGGAAGAACCAACCTGAGTAGTTCCTACTAACCAAGGATGGGACAACATAAGTATAAAGAAAAACAACGGTAATGGACTGAAACACATCAAATATATTTCAATATGAATTCATAATGAAGGGAAAAAACCCCTCATCCTTTGGAGGATGCTAGGGAACTAACTCTTTATAAAATTGGTTAGAAAGTGAAAACATTAATACCATTTTGCTTCTCTATATGAACTGTCCCTCAGGGTAACCAACAGTTGAAAGTTTTAAGTATATCAGGTTTTAAAAAAAAGATAGAATACCACTATTTTGTACACCTCAGGTACAAATAATGATCGCTGATGGCTCAAACCTTTAAATGAAAAACTAATGGGATGCAACACGGTTAAATCCCCAAAACATTCTGCTGAGTCATAACCTTTCACAGAAGAGTACATACTGTATCATTACATTTATATGACATTCAGAACAAGCAAAAATTTATAGTGAAGAAAATCATTTCAGTAGTTGCCTTGTGGGATGGGGTGAGATACGGTGGTGGATAGGACTGACTGGGCAGCAGAAGTGAACTTTCTGGGGGTATGAGTAATGTTCTATATCTTGATAAGGGTCTGAGTTACATAACTGTACTAGTCAAAAGTCACTGACTGATACACTTAAGGTATCTAAGTATATTTAAAGATGCACATAAATTCTACCAAAACCCAAATATGTATATGTAAATGTCTGATTACATCTAATTAATAATGTAAACACCGAGGTGTTTAAGGGTGAAGTATACTAATGCCTGCAAGTCACTCTGAAATACATAAATAAAAAGATGGACAGGTGGAGAGAAGGATGCATAAACATATATGTGATGAAGCAAACACAGTAAAATGTTAATTGTAGGATCTAGGTGATGGGTCTGTATAAGCATTCACTGCAAAGTTCCTTCAGCTTTTATTTGATAAGAACTGCTGGTAAGAACTATTTTAGATCAATTTGTACTAGTGTATGCAGAGTGTGTCAGTCATGTCAAAGCCAAGTCCAATAAACAAAACCTATCTTTGGGGAAAAAAAAAAAGGAAATTTTATAACAAATGTATCAGGCTGACAGCACCTGAAACCATCTCTCAATCTTAGTATCAGAAAAACAAAAGCTCTCAACCAAAAGATCTGTTAGATCTAATGGATGAATTCAGTAAAGTTGCACAATACAAAATTAAAATACAAAAATCAGTAGTGCTTCTATACACTTACAATGAATTTTCTGAAAAGAAATCTATCCCACTTACAACAGCATCAAGAACTATAAAACAAGAATAAATTTAACTAGGAAGGTAAAAGACCTCTACTCTCAAAACTACAAGACACTGATGAAAGAACTCAAAGACACAATAAATGTGCTCACGAATTCAAAGAATGAATACCGTTAAAACGTCACAAGCCACCTATAGATTCAATGCAATCCTTATCAAGCTTCCAATCGCAATTTTTTACAAAAGTAGAGAACAACACTCCTAAAATTTATGTGGAAACACAAAGGACTGAATAGTCAAAAATATCCTGAGAAAAAAAGAATAAAGCTGGAAACATCATACTTCCTGATTTCAAGCTATACTATGAAGTTTAAGTCATCAAAACAGCATGGTTCTAGCATATAAACAAACATATCAGTGGAAGAGAACTGAAAGCCTGAAAATAACCCAAGCACAATTCAACTAATTATGCCAACTAATATTTGACAAGGGAGCCAGGGGAATTCCTGATGGAATAGTGCTGGGATAATTGGATATTCACCTACAAAAGAATAAAATTATCCCCTATCTTATACCTTTCACAAAAATGAACTCAAAATAGATTAAAGACTTAAATGTATGACTTCAAACCATGAAACTCCGAGAAGAAAATACAGGACTAAAGCTCTGTGACATGGGTCATAGTACTGATTTTTTGGATATGACACTCAAAGCACAAGCAAAAATAAAAAAGAGACAAGTAGAACTACATGAAACTAAAGATGTGGGGCACCTGCCCAGCTCAATCAGTTGAGCATCTGTCTGCCTTTGGCTCAGGTCATGATCCCAGAGTCCTGGGATGGAGCCCCATGTTGGGGTCTCCCTTTGCTACTCCCCCTACTTGTGCTCTCTTGCTCTGTCAAATAAAAAAATTTAAAAATAAAAATCTGCATAGAAATCATTAACAAAGTGAAAAGACAACCTACAGAATAGGAAAAAAATATTTGGAAGCCATAGATCTGATAAGGGGTTAACATTCATAATATATAAAGAACTCCTACAACTCAACAGCAAAAAAACAACCCAAATAAAAAAATGGTAGAGGACCTGAACAGACATTTCTCCAAAGAAGATATATGAAAGGCAATCGGTACATGAAAAGACACTCAGCATCACCTGTCATGGGAAGAATGTTAATTAAAACCATAATGAGATACCGCCTCATGCCGGTGAGAATGGCCATCATCAAAAAGATAACAAATGTTTGTTTGCATGTGGAGAAAAGGGAACCCTTATGCACTGTTGGTGAAACTGTAAAGTGCTACAGCCACTATGAAAAAGATGGAAGATCCTAAAAAAATTAAACTACCGTATGATCCAGGAATTCCACTTCTGGGAATACATCCAAATGAAATCAAAAACACTATCTCAAAAAGGTACCTGCACCTCCTTGTTCACAGCAACATTATTTACAACAGCCAAGACATGGAAACAGGTAAGTGTCCATCAATGGATGAATGGATAAAGAAGTTGTGGTATATACATGCAATGGACTATTATTCAGCCATTAAAAAATGCAGAAATCCTACATTTGCAAGAACATAGGTATACCTTGAAGGCATTATGCTACGTGAAATAAGAGAGATAAAGACAAATACTTATGATTTCACTTATCTGTGGAATCTAAAAGAAACAAACAAAAAGACCAAACTCACAAAAAAAAAAAAAGATCAGACTTGTGGTTACCAGAGGCAGAGGGTGGGGAGAGGGGAAATTGGAGGAAGGTGGTCAAAAGGTACAAACTTCTAGTTATAAAATACTAAGAACTAGGGATGTAATGTACAACATGACTATAGCCAACATTATTGTATGATACACAGGAAAGATGTGGAGAGAGTAAATCCTATGAATTAAGGAGAAAATTTTTTTCCTTCTTTTTTGTTTTATCTATACAAAACGAAGGATGTTAGATAAACCAATGGTGGAAATCACTTCACAATTTAGGTAAATCAAACCACTACGCTATATGCCTTAAACTTATGCAGTAATGTGTATCAATGATTTCACAATAAAACTGGAAAAGATAAAAATGACAGAAATAGTAGACATAAATTGTCTAATTGCTTATTACTGCACTTTACATTAAGATAAAATATGGTGTGCACCTAAAAAAAAAAGAAAGAAAGAAAAGAAAAAGGGAAGAGAAAGAATCAAACACTCTGTGGTGGATCCTGATTGGAAGTATATATCATCCCTACAAATTACTTTTGAAAAAAAAAAAAAGATCAAACCCAAATCTAATCAAGTGTCTAGCTCTAACAGCAATTTCTAGGGGAAAAAAAAAAAAGGAACACGTGTTAACTGTTACTTTAACAACTGAATTGCAAAGAAAAAGACGAGAAAACCAGGCAGAATCTATGGTAAAACAAAAACATATCCATTTGCAATGCATGGAGATTATTTAGATCGTGACTTGATGACTTGTAAAAATATATATATATTTATTCATGGCACAGCATAGGAAATACAGTCAATGATATTTTAACAGTGTTATATGATGACAGAAGCTATGCTTGTGGTGAGCATTGCCTAAGATATGGAGAAGTTGAATCACTATGTTGTATGGCTGCAACTATTGTAACACTGTGTGTCAACTATACTCAAAAAAATTAAAAAATATGTATATACATATATTCATAAACACCTGAGGAAACATCAATACTGAAAATGGGGTGACCTATTAAAGTTTTTTCAATGGTATTATAATGGTATGTAGTTATGTGTCTTAAAAAAGTATGCCTATCTTTTAGAGATATGAACTAAAATATTTATGGATGAGATGATAATGACGTCTGAGATTTTCTTCAAGATAATTTGGGGTGGCGTATATAGAAGACTGGTCATGAGCTGGATGACAAACACATGGGAGTTTATTATACTATTCTTTCCCCTTTTATGTGTTTAGATGCTTTAAAATAAAAGCGTAAACAAAAATCTGCATTTAATATTTCCACTTGAAGAAGTAAAAACTCCAGCACAAATGACTAAATTCGTAAGTTCAACATACAAAAAACTTGAAAACAACTTGCCATTCAGATTTTAAAGTGAAGTTTGTTTCCAGGTATGTTTCCCTTCCAGGATCCCACTGACACATCATTTTCTTTCCTTCATTCACAATGCAACTCAAATTTTTAGGTTTTTCTGGAGGCACTAAAAGGGAAAAATGAGCCATTTTCAAAAAGCTTTATATCCACAAATAACATGCAGTTTATATGCTACCCAAGACATGTGCAATCTAAATTAGATGGGGGAAAAAAAAAACAAAAACAAACATGAGCAAAATGTATGGACATAATGAAATTCGACTAGTGACTAAAAAAATAATCTTTTCTACTTAAACTCGTACTTTTTAGATTAAGTAATATACATTTTCTATAACTGTCACTAACTAGCATATTTCAAATTAATTTTCTACACAAAATCAACTTTCATTTATAACTGGGTAAGAATATTAACTGATTTCTCCATGAAGTGTATTTTAAAAAGTATTACTGCATGTTAGTAAAAGGCAAGTAAATGGAAACAAATGATTCACGTATTTCTCTTCCTATTGTTTTCTGAAACTCCGCTGGAGGAAAAGCATATACCAAAATTATGGTTTTGGGGATCCATCAATTTGACAATCCACTCTTGGATCATACTAAGTTTATTTACTCTGACACAGAAGGACTTTCTCCAGTATTTATTCACTTTCTTCAGATAGTTTGTTCTGTATGTGCATCTTTTCAGCAATTAAAGGATACTGAAAGTTACTATGAATACACTAACAAATTTCAATTCAACACTGTTTTGCGGGTCTCATGTAAAAACAGTTTTCTAGAAAACTGAGAGATACTTGACTTTCAAGAAAGATATAAATCTTATGTTACTCTTCAAGTTTTTTGTATAGTAGTAATGCAAATGGAGTTCCACTTCAAAACTTTTTTTAAAAACAAGTACGTCCAAAAGTCAATGAGCCAAAAAATAACTGCATTTCATAAAGACCAACAGACATTACGAATGTAATTCAACAGTCATAACAAAGTTTAAAATAAGACAAAAACAAAACTTACAGCCTGAAATTATTCTGATTCCATAAACATTCTGATCAATCTGTCCAAATGTACGAATGTTGCAAGTGAGCTGAGTATTTAATAAAGATGTATCTGTAAACGTGACACTAGATGCTGTTCTGTTTATGATGGTATACTGTTCTTTAGGAACAGTAAGATGGTTTGTTTTCCAGAATATATAACTAGCATTTACATGAAAATAATCCATACATTTTTCTTTTAGCACACAAACCGCAGTGAAATTAGAACCAAGTTGTACAACTGGAGATTCAGGTTTGATATAACCACATGGATCTAGAAGTTCACCTGAAAAAGAACAAGAGAAAATATAAAAATGGATTGAATTATTCTAATATTCTAATATTCCCCTCCCGCCCTCAGATGTGTGTGGGTGCTTATGTCTGCCCCAGCCAACGGAGTGCTATGTGACTATCTAGACTGTTACAACAATACAACTTTCAACTAGTGTTCTTTTTCTCTTGGGACATTTGTCCTTGGAACCCAGTCACATGTTGCAGGGAAGCCAAGGTGACATGGGGAGACCACATGTGGTGTTCTGGCCAACAAGCCTAGCAAAGCCCTCAGCCTACAGCCAGCATCAACACCAGACATATAAGTGAATGTGCCTTCAGATGATTCTAGTCCCCAATCTTTGAATATTCCAGGTAACGCCCCAGACATCACAGTGCAAAGATGAAATAGTCCAGCTATGCCCAACTTTTATTCCTGACACACACACAAACCGTAAGAAATAATACTGTCATTTCAAGCCATGAAGTTTTAGAGTAAATTGTGAGGCAGCAAAACATACTTCTGTTATTTTGAACATTTTTTTCAATAATTTGGCAGAAAACAGACACACACAAACACCTACCAAATTAGCAAAGGACAAGACTATGAAGGATTGCCAACACTTTGGATGTTAGTATTAGAATTAAAATTATTTTAAAAGATTAGACCAAAAGGCCAAAACTAATATAATGAAATTTGCCAGAGAAGAAAATATCGCTCATTTAGGCTGAGATTAAATAAATATAGGGTAAGGCAGAAGTGGATTAAAAGTAATTCATGTGAAAACCTAAGAATTTTCACTGACCAGTAGCTTAACAAGAAACTATGGTCTATCTTAGCTGGCAAAAAACTATGCTGAGTAAGAAAGATCTGAAGAAAGTTCAGATCAAAGTAAGTAATAAAATGACTATTCTTAGACCATGTCCAGTTCTGGTACATTAATTTTTTTTCTTAAATGCATTTTTATTAGAACCTCAATAATAATTCTATAATTACTATCCTTTTTATAATGTTTACTGTGGGCCAGGCATTGTCCAGATGCCTTGTGTATAGTAACTCATTTAATCCTCACAGTACCCCTAGGAGACAGGAATCATTGTTATCTCCATCTTATAGATCAAGAAACTAATACAGATCAAGCGACTGGCCTAAGTCCTATAGCTGGTAAGTGCGAGAGGTGTGATGGTCTATTATTTCAAATGTGCTATGGGCAACCAAGAGAAGAATCAGGAGGGTAATCAGCATGTATAGGGTTAGAAGCCAAGTCCTATAAAGAATAATTAGGACAACTGGGTAAGTTTAGTTTGGGCAAGAGAGGCCTTAGAGACACATGAAAGCAGTCCTTCAATATTTTCCAAGAGTTGAACAGTGGGAAGAGAAAGTGGGATTACTCTAGAACTAGGGATAATGGGAAAAAGTAACAAGAAGGAAAATTTGGGCTCAAGAATAAGGGAAGATTTTCTCAACAACAGCAATTTCCAAAATAAGTCTTATGTCACTTGAAGTGTTCAAAAAGAAATCGCATTCCTAGATTTAGAAAGAGGATGATTTACAGCAGTGCTTCTCAATCTGTGGTGAAAGATCAGTTTGGTTTTTTACCCCCAATCTTTCACAGACTTACACTTTTGCTCTATACCATGTTTAATGAGATAAGTCCAGTGATCACATGCTTGGATGTCACGGCTATGTCAAACTGTTAAGAGTTTCTAAACATATATTCTTAATTTCTGTACTTCTCTCATTGTGAATTAGTAACAACCAATTCTCAGACAGGCATCAGGCTGTGGACCAGTTTGAGCAGTACTGCTCCAGACCTCTTTATTCTGGTATCACGATCACATTGCTGTTCAGTGACACCTTTGGCTATTAAAAAGTGAAGTGCTAAAAGTTAACAGATTTTCTCCTATGTATTAAAAAAAATGCCCAAAAAACCAACAACATATTTTTCCCCCCTCCCACCTTAAAATTATTGTTAGTATACCTAAACAGCATTTAGGATTACTGGGTGACTGTTTCTACTCAAACTATAATTTATCAGGAGTATTTTTACATTTCAAAATCATTTTTAGGTTAGGACAGCATTATTCTCTCAATAATGAGCCTAGAAAAAATAAAAACATTAACATAATTATGAAGCATAAGCTTAATTATATAAAAATATATAAACCTGATTTGTGAGATTGGGAGGTAGGGTATTTTCATGAACCTTACCTACACATTCAGTGGTGAAGAAAATAAACAATGCGTGCACTATCCAAGTCTGCAATGCCAACATCTTGCATTAGATATTTCTGTAAAAGACACATATAGTATTATTTTTATTATTTTTTCTCTTACTACACATAGTAAGTAAAGACACAATTCCTAACACTTTTGTTTCCACTGGATAGCTGTCTTCTAAAAGGTGGTAAAATTTTATGAGAATGCAGAAAATAAATTTAAGTCTTCAAAATATTTTTCTTTATTCCCACTGGAGTTATGGCTATGTAAAATAGTGATGGAACACAACTTATACTTTAAGGTTAATTAAAAGAGCAATCCTGTTTCTTTATTATGTGAAGACTTACACTATTAGTAAATGCTGTGTGAGACAGTACTTCAGAGAGACAAATTTCTACATGGCAAAACCCACCAAAAGCAACCTCAAAAGATATTTGCAAAATGGAAAAAAAAGTCTGTAATTCATACCATGACCAAAAATATCCCCTACTATATGAAGAATGTCTACAAATCACTAGAAAATTCCAACACCTAGTAGAAAAACTAGCAAGGTGAGCTGAATAGGCAATTTATAGAAAAGAATATACAAATTATTTAAAACATATGAAATGATACTTTCAACCTCACTCATAATGAGAGGTGCAAATTAAACTACCCCAGAGAGGAATGCAAGATGATACAGACACTTTGGAAAACAATTAGGCAGTTCTTTACCAAGTTAAATGTACATAATAATAATCCATATTTCCACTCCGAAGAATGTATCCAAGAGAACTAAAAATACATGTCCACATGAAGACTTATATTCAAATGGTCATAGCAGCTTTATTCGTAACAGTCCCAAACTAAAAACAACCCAAATGTCTATCAACTGGAGAACAGATAAACAAATACCCAAACAACGGTATATCCATACAATAGAATACCACTCAGCAATAAAAGGGAATGAATTAGTGATATATGCAATAGCATGAATGAGAATGAATCTCAAAAGCATTAGCTGAATAAAGGAAGACACACAAAACAGGCTATGTACTCCTGAATTCCATTTACAGGTATTTGACAAATGGCACAACCAGGGTGACAGAAAGCAGATCAGGGGGCTGGCTTGGGCTGAAGTGGAAAAGGGGAATAAATGTAAAGAGGCACAAAAGAACTTTCAGGGGTGATAGGAATGTTCCATGACCTGATTAGGGTAGTGATAAAACTCTATCTGTCAAAATTCACTAAATTGTGTCAAGAATTATGAAAGCACTGAGATTTTACCCTACTTGCAAGCGAACTAGTCTGCTAGTCCCATGGATACTGGCAGAAGACATGAGACTCCTGTGTCAGAGACAAACGACCTTATTACTCATACCAGGAGCAGCATTTTCAGAGTTATCAGCATTTTTTTGCGCCAGCTGCCTGGGCCCCAATTCCGACAGAGCATTGTGAAGAGGGACTGGTAACACCTGTACACACAGTGGGTCATGTTATAGGAGGGAAGACTGAGCTTAAGAGACCCAGATCTTTTAAAATGGCAGTAAGCATGCCTGCCTTTTACTGTGGAGAGAGACACTATCTCTGTTTTCCAAGGCTGTAAACAAACCTTCAAGAGACGTATGGGGAATTGTTTCCTAACAAATTGTACACTAAAAATTGATGAATTTTATTCTTTATAAATTAAACCTCAATTAAAAACCAACAAAATGTACCCAGGCAAGGTATATAGTCAAAAGAAATGAGTGCTTCACTCCTCTAAAAGACATGTACAAGAACGTTCATACAAGTTTTATTTAAGTACAGAAAAGCAGAAGCAACCAAAAACACAAACACAGTAGAACAGAAAAATTCAAGTAACTCAACCATAGCAATGAAAAAAGAATTACAGGTACTCACAACATGACTGAATTTCCTATATAACAGAGAAGAAATGAGACACAAAAATGTATATGAAGTTCAAAATCAGGCAAATGTAATCTGTGGTGATAGAGAATAGTGGTTATCTTTTTTGGGGGGTGGGGAAGAGGGCAGAAGTGAGCATTCTGGGATGCTGGACATGCTCTAGACTTTGAACTAGATGGTGATTAAAAATTTACTGAGCTATAAACTTGTGATCTGTGGACTTTATTGTATGTAAGTTGTACTTAGTAAAAACAGTAAACAAAACAAAATGACCCCCGTATCATTTCCAGTTTTGGCAAAAATATAAAAAATTAAAAATTATCAACACAGTATTTTGAGACTATGACATAAAGGCATTCTCAACTCTGCATTTATAGTGTAAAATGGCATAACCTTCCCAACAAACTGTGGGAATTTAAAACTGAATTTTATTGTTTGTAAATTAGAGCTCAATTATAAATAAAAGAACTATCCAGATAAGGTGTATGCCCAGTTTTGCATTATCGATCAAAATTAAAATATATATACGTTTGAATCTAATGATTCTACTTCTAGTATTTTATCCTATAGATATGAGCAAAACAATACACAAATAAGGTTATTCACTACAGCAGTTTTTAATAAAAGATTGATGCACAAATAGGGGACTAGTTAAATTATGGTACATCCAAATATAGCATACATGTAGCTACAAAAAAGATGAGGAAGTTCTAGATCTCTTCCTAGAGAGGTGTAAAGATATCTAAAATACATAAATAAATAAAATAAACTATTGTTAAGGAAGAGAACAGTGTATTTGTTATTTGTGGGGAGAAACCAAAAAAAGACAAAACACACACTCATTTCCTTATACACACATAAAATACCTCTAGAAGGATAAACACTCAAAGACTGGCTGCCACTGGATGAGATACCAGGGTAGGATGGAGATGCTCTACCATATATTCTTTGCACCTTTCCAATGTTGTACCATGTGACTTCAGTACTTAGTCAAAAACTAAATTTAAATTAAAAAATATTTGTGTAAACTCTCTCCCCCAAATAAAACTATGAAGTTCTTGATGAGGGCTTCACAGTACTGCATTTGGAATACAGTGGCTTTTTTATTAAATATCAATACTAACTTGACTTTATGTACTCCCTACCCATGTAACAGTCACTCTATAATTTGCTCAGGATAAAAGAATGAAGTTGTAGGAACCATTTTCCTCCACCTGTTTTATTTACTTCCTAACTTTAAATAGTCCTATATTAGAAAAATCCACATCATTCAACTGTTCATCAAAAACAAAATGAAGAAAATACCTGAGCATGCTGGGAGAGCAGTATGTGGTCATGCCACCCTGACCACCCACACCAAGTACCTTGTTCACACTGTAGAGAGGATTCTCTATAGTTCCTGGAAACTGGCAATCTTTTTATTGATGCACTATATTCTTAGAACAAAACTCTGACACAAGAGGTCCCATAAAGGTATTTATAGTTACCACAAAGCAATTAGATTTATCTAAGCAGGGCCATGAAACACAGTATGTAAAAGGAAAACAGGCAAAGAAGGTTTCACATTTTAATAGTTAGAAAGTAACGTTTCCTGGGACGCCCAGGTGACTCCATTGGTTAAGCATCAAGCACCTGCCTTCAGCTCAGGTCATGATCCCAGGGTCCTGGGATTGAGCCCTGAGTCAGCTCCCTGCTCAGTGGGGAGTCTACTTCTCCCTGTGTCCCTCCCCCTGCTTATGTGCAGGCTCTCTCTCTCAAATAAATAAAATCTTAAAAAAAAAAAAAAAAAAAAGTAACGTTTCCTAATTTTTAAAGGATTGTCATTGGGATGTGATGAAGAAACATCTTTTCAGAGTCCCAACCTAAGAGATGGAAGCACAGTAGCACTATCTAAAATACTAAATGCAATATAGTCAACTTCATTTTGGGGCTTATCTTGTTTTAAAATGGACAGAATTGACAGTATACTGCCAAAAGAGAGGAACACCTCTCTTTTCATTTTGACAACAGTACACATTATCCTCCCGCATCTCTGGCAGAATTTTCCATGCATATATTATAACCACATACTGCATACAATGATTTTCCTTGAAATTTGCATCTTATCTTGGAAGATTCTATGAAACCAAAACGTAACTCCTAAGCAGAGATACAGGGAAGGTTTATTCCAAGCACTGAGTGGTCCTTCTGGAGTGGCAATTCCTCAACTATGGTGGTTCAACACGGTAATGTGCTGAAAGGTGCTGTAAGATGCATCCCAACTAACTCACTATTGTTAAAGTAATAAAGTTTACAAATGATTAAAAAAAATTAAAACAAATCAAGATTATCCCTGTAGTTGATCATTCTTATTCATTTTCATTCCCATGAATTTTCTTTAGCGGGAGAAAATGCACTGGAGTTATAACTGATAAATATTTAATAGTTTTGCCCTTTATAAATTCTTTTTGCTACTTATAGATTATGATTTTTGAGTCTTTCTTTTTACTTTGATGCAAGGACAAAATGAAAAATCATGAGTAATATATTTAGATGTAGACTTCATGGGAGGAAGAATGTCAATATAAACTTAGTTACTATGGTAACATTACTCCTATAATTGTAGAACTACTAGTAGATGAACTATAATTGCCAAAAAGAAGGCAAAGTAATGTCTGTTGAATAAATAAACTGGGTAGGGATCAGGATGAGGAAAATTTCAGTATGGTATCATGTATACACATTATAGTGCTAGTTTGAATAAATTTGCAAAGAGTCAGTCATACCCACATTATATTTACTATTATTTTAAAAATTATCCAACTCTGCTCTCTTCTATTATTACTAATTATTAATTCATAGTAACACTTTGTATACTATTTTACATTACACAAGTGCTTTTATGTAAATTACTTCACCTGATTCTCCTAATATCCTAGAGATGGAGGCTGGTAGGGCAGGAATCATTATTTTATTATTTTAAGAGTTTATATTTTTAGAACAGCTTCAGGCTTAAAATGAAATTGAGAGGAAGATACAGAGAATTCCCACATACCCTCTGCCCCCACACATGCACAGCCTCTCCTATTATCAGTATCACTCACCGGAATGGTACATTTTACCAAGGATGAACCTACATTGACACACTTTAACTACTCTAAGTCTGTAGTTTACCTTAATGTCCACTCATGGTGTTGTACATCCA